TGAAACAAAATGACATCGGTAATCTATGTGTTTATATCCAGCTGTGTCTCAGATGTGTCATTATTCTGGAAAAGACCTGGCCCCAAATTACATATCTGCTGGGGAAAAGAAACATCAAACCAAGCCAAACAGCCGATTTCCGGCTACTCCAAAGTAGAGTTGAAAAAATTACCCCTAAGCCCTGCTCTTGGGCAAGCTCAGTGAGCTTGTTTCTCTGGTGCATCTCTGGGTGTAACCCTGTCCCTGTCCATCGTCCCCCCAGCTGTTCCCTTCCATGCAGCTTACTTGCTATCTTCTAGAAATATGACTCAAGACCAATATTAACAATTCTTTGCTAGCTGGTTGTTGCTTCAGGGTACTGGAGGTGGGACCTGATACACCAGACAGGTAGAAATCACTTGATAACTTTGATGAAATCTGCACACAAGTTGGAACAAGGTCTGAATACACATCTGCAGTGGCTGCATAGTAAGAACTGAGGCAGTAAGACAGGGCATTATCAACGCTTGTTGAACCCTTCTTTGCAGAGTTGTTTCTTTTTTTTGTCGTTGCTGCAGGTTGTATTTCTAACATGAGAGGTGGACAGGGAGCCTGGCACTAAGCTTACCGACTCACTGTCGCATGGGGTGTGCATGGCAGTGGGACTCCTCCATGGGCACTTGGTTACAATCAAACAAGGCCTGGACCTCACAGGCTCTTACCCTGACAGTTTAAGGCATTAGCAATGGTAGAGAGATGTGAGGAGTTAATGATCTATGCGTGTTTATACTGGACTGGTCATCCAGGTGCTATTTACATTTGAAATTAGGCATTTCAGTGGACAGCAGTGTAATGCCTTCCCCAGCTGCCTCTGGTTGCCTCTGCTTCTCTGGTTATCAAGAAATGCACACATCACCACCACCTCAGGGAAGCAGCCGTTATACTTGGTGCAGAGTTAATTATATGCCAAAGAACCTGGTGGGTATTCACCTCAATTTACACATATATGAAATAAAAGAAAAAAATACCCACTTGGAGATTGATGCACAGTGCTAGCCTGGCTTCTGAGAGCTTTGGCTAGCGGGAGGACTGTTGTTTTCAGCTGGGTTTGCACTACATCACTCTGACTGTTGTTTCACAGGAATCCAT